TAGGGACTAGCAGCAGTGCAAGTGTTGTTGAGGGGAAAATGATACCCAGAAATTAACTTCGGCGATATCTATTGAATTTTTATTGCGACTTTACTTCGTTAGATCGTGCAGCCCGATATGCAGTAGTATGCAGTATATATATATATATATATATATATATATATAAGCACCGGTCGTGAGGAATTAATACCTAAGATGATGTTGGTCTTTGGTAGAGATTGTGCTCTTGTTTTCTGTACCTTTCATCTGGTGCGGTTCCTATTGCTGGACATCACATACTCCTTCACTGATCGATGAGATGAATAACTGAAAGATAGCAAATGATGTCTGTGCCCGACAGGTTATTGGTTGTGAAAACTGAAACGGTGTGTGTATGTGAATAACCTGTGTTCCAATTTCATCTTACCATCATTTTTACACTATGTGGAATAGACAAAGCACATGTGTGATCGAAATCCGTTAAATTAATGACACCGCTCGTCGATGAACTGGAGCGATCATTACGCGGTGAACATTAACAACGTGATGGAACAAGCGTCATTCGAAGCAGACCTCACTCGTCACGGTTTTTACGTCAGCACTTTGAGGCACAATACACGTTCTTCTTATTGATTCCGAATCCTTTAACGGGTCGTCGATTCTTTTCACAATCCCGTAAAGAATAAACGACATAGTAGCTCGTTTTCAAATGTCATGAGTTAGTGATTGAATGCCCAGTGCATCCATCACTCGTCGCGTCCTATCATTGTTGTGGCGATTAGGGTGCCATTAAGTGGGTAACAGAAGTACAAAAGAAAAACTCCTTTATCTTCGTTAGAGGGAATGATGACAACTGTGAGAAACTGAAATTGTTAAAAACTTGAATAAAGATTAAGAAGCACTGTTACTTTTGAGTAAGTCAGCATCGCAACAGTCGTCTGATTACAATAAAAAAAAACAGAAACGTTTCAAGATGGGCTGAGCAAGAAAAAAAACTGGTGTGTAAAACCGCAGAGCTGCACAGTTCAGATTTGCGCAGATGCATGTAAAAGGCGTCTTAGAATTGACGAGTCGTTCGTTATGTACTCTGTGTGCATATTTTTGCGTTCAGTATCGAGCCTAGTTTTGAAAGAAAATAGTGGAAAATCGCTAAAAAAAAAGCGTTTGCTTTTTTAGTACATAAGTACGTTTTTGAAGGATAAAGTTAACCATGAGCATAACGAAGTTTTTGTGTGACGCTTATTTCCATATTCAATATACGCGCAGTTACGTGCATACACACTGTGCCGCAGCAGCGATCAGTACAGCTATACGACTGTAAGGCATCGGAGTTATGTGTGTAAGAGACTTTTGCTGAGTCCGAGTTTCTGATCATTGTTTTATAAGTGGTTTGGTGTAGGCGAGTTAGAAACCCTCATTAGTTGCTAGTTAGTTAATTCATTCCTCGTAAATATTATAGCGGGTAAATATGGTTACTTCCTTTCCCATACTACCCGCATGATGATGATTAGAGTTTCATAGCACTTTCAACAATGTAACAATATTATTTTTACTTCTTTTCTTTTTTATTGAGTATACAAATGTGCAATGAACTTTCAAGAATGGGCTGCCCGCGAAGATACGTAAATAGGGCAGATGGATTGTGTGGGTGGTGGGAGTTGGAGCTCGGGACATCCGGATCGCGGTTTCAATGACCTAAATCAATAGGTTACTTAGTGGTAGTAGTTCTACTGAATACCCTGAATACGTTTATAGTCAATTTTATCCGATCTAAGAACTATTCATCATCACTGGGAGTAGAAATATCTCGACTGCGTAAATAAAAACAAGTTCTTACCTGTGCACGAGCTTCACGACTTTGCCGACGCAGCTCGGCACCCATGAACGTCCCGATAAGAAAGATACAAGGCAGCGAGCCGAGTAGAGCGTATGTTAGTGTCGTTGATATGGTGAATAACGCGTAGACAGAGCCGACCACCTGACCTCGGACGGTATGGACAAAGAAAAATGGGGGACATGAGAGGGGAGAAAAACGAGAGAAGACTAAAGTTATCATTACCGTCCTCATCGTATGGATTACTTAGATACACATCAAAAACAATTTGTTAAGCTACAATAATGGTTCAAATTAGAAAAGTACCAACAGAGTCTTAAGGAAACGGAACAAAATGATGGTATACCAGGGCGAGACATCATCTAAATGGTTACTGACCACACCCAAAAACATTTCAAGCAAGATAAAAAAACATTAGTGGGGAGATGATAGGCCTAACACGGACATCACATACTAAGCAAGTGAATGTGATTTGACAATCGAAGAACTGTTTGGAAACTACACAGTTCAATTTACGCGTAATGTGGGTGTATCGATGTGGGGAAATCTCAAAGCGGGAGTTTACGTGCTCGAGAAAGTGGTATCACGTATGTGAGTAACTCCGATTTCTGAAAGGGGCTATGAGAAATCCGCGAAAAGAGAGATGATTCAAGTGTCGATGTTGAGTGATAAATGCCCACGACGTGCAGTGTTCGTTGGGTTGTTTTAAGACGCATGTGATTTTTAAAATTTGCATTTGGTATTGAAACAATGAGATATGAGTGAAACAGAGTAAATATAAATAAGTCACTTAAAAAAAGACAAAAATGTTTTTATTCAGTCGCCAATATATTTGGGTCATGTAAACGACCACCACCTTGGCGGAAGTAAATAGGTGTACACACACACGGTGAAACGAAACCAGATACTCTGTGCATGCCCATGTTTTCGGTCCCTTTTTAAAACTTGTAACGGAAAAGTAGTGGAAAAAATGAACCACAACAGATCTGTGCCTGGTCGAAAACTGTTTGAGGAGGGCTGAGTGGTGACGACGGGGTGCGAACCTACGAAATCCAGCTGATGTGATGGTGATCTACAGTGCTTGACCCTTAGGCGCAGGCAATTTTTATCTCAGTAGTTCTGGCTGATTTGCTGCAATATTGGGTGTGCATTTTAACTTGCTTGGAGCCACGGAAAGTTTGCTTTGCACACCGGAAAATGGGTTTTCAAGTGCCTGAAACCTAAAGGAGACGAATGGAACAGATGTGTAAATCAAGATAAACATCCGCAATTAGTTCTGGTTCCGTTGAGCCGGGGAAACAACAACTGAGAATTCCATTTTTGGAACAGATAGTAGAATTCAAAAATAAAAGACATTTATCCGATGAGCTGAAACTACTGCGCTGCTATGATAAATAGACCTGCGTTGCCTGATTCACTCACCTCATCCTGTCTTCTGGTAGTTCTGTATTGCGTACTTCCCCATTCACGAAAATCGATTACACAAACTGCTCTTTAATAAGGGAATTAAACGAGTCTTATTATTATTATTATTATTATTGCACGACAATTTTGTTTCGCTGACACTTTTTCACATTTCTGTAGGCGCGGTATTGAACCGGACGACAGCAAAGCTGCCTACCTGCTCATAGGTCTCGTACCGAAGCCATTAGTTATTCATTTTAGTGTCTATTTCCACGTGTAAAACTTCTTAATTCCAATTGTAAAACTCTGTGGAACATTTTTCCTCTTTCCACCTTCCGTCCAAATTATAACATCCGTACCTTTTAACATAGAATAAGAAACTGATTCTAGGCTGAATTTTTTCTCCACTATGGAGTCTACCTCCACTCCCTCTCCTCTCTTACGCATAGCCATAAGAACGATAAACGATGTACAATCAATTTACAGTGAGGACGAGCTAAGAAATTAAAGGTTATCACTAGTTGGAAATTGCATATTGCAAGCCTTAACGCTGCATCTGTTCACTCTTTCAAAGATGTCTTACTATCGGATTTCTTAGTTAACTACACTGTCACTGATTTAATTCGAGGCATGATTTAAATGGTCGCAAACGTAATGCGTTTTGATGTTACGTTTGCCCCCTCTTATTTGTTTATGGAGCTAGTTTTCACTATTAAAAACTATTCATGGATGCATACTGCATCCCGTTCTCCTAGAAGTTCATCATTACTTTTTTCCAGTCTCAATTCTCCTGTGTGATGGCTTCTCTAGAAGAATTTCGCATAAAGACCATTAATTTACAAACAAAACTTTAAATTCTCCTCTCCGGAACCAATAATTTAAACGAGCCCTGGTTGCACAGTTGGTGTGTAGCATTGTTGTTACACGTCTGTACCGATTTTGCGATTAACCTAACAACAGAAGTGACAAACCGGACTGACGGGTCACGTTTTCGACCATTGTGCCATGAGTAGTCTCTATGACTGGACAGCATAGTCATGGTAGGAAAAGACCGTTTGGTAGTGAGTGTCACACATCAGGTGGTCATCTTCCTTCGAGTCATTTATGTGTAAACACTATGATTGTGCATTAATTCACACATGTGTAATTCACATCTCTGTGTGTACGAAACGTAGTGGATAAAAGGATGCCGGACGCGATTTTCTGATAACCGGTACAACCCAGGATAAAACCGATCAGGAATCTAAACCCTGGTCTGTCGAGTGACAGACCACATTGAATGCGTACGGTATTAAGTCGGAAGACAATGAGACTGAAGTGGGTCCAAGCATGATCCGTGAGAACCTGATAGAATACAAGTGATACTGCACTTAACGCACAGTGAACCCACAGTGAAGCGAGGCACGAATGAGTAAAGTGAATGAGAATGGATGAAGGTATTGCATTAGACGGCGGTGAAGCTGCTAACCCCCAAGAGTATATGGTTGTGACAGGGTCTCAGAGACCTAGGGGTCCAGAGCACGTCGGTGTCAGCAACTCGAACCGCTTTTCCACTATCGATTGGTCACTTATCTTATAAAGTTAATTATTTCGATTAAACAAGCAATGACTAATTGAATGCTGTTCAAATGGACAAAGGGTACCAACCACAGGAGAGACAATAATCAATTAGGAAGAAATTCGAGTGAACGCAACAGTTTTTGCTGAATGAGATTACAAAAAATGCCGATTGATCGTATAAAAAGACTTAAAATACACAGACGCTCATATACAGTTGAAAGTTTCAGGCTTCCAGTATTTTAAACTGTTGAAAAAGGAGTAACTTGTCGTGTTGTTTAAGAAATGCCCATTTAGTGGCATCTGACATAACTCCGTTGTTTGATTTGTCATTCCGAATCTGATCGGTTGTGATTGCTTGACGAAGCACTGCGGACTCGGAAATGAAAACAGTACAGAATAATGCGAAGAATACTGACCTGAGCACCACTTCGCAGTCCGTGAGATACACATTGTTTGAAGGAACTTTTGAATGTTTGGACATCCGCAGCGATCCTGCAGAAGAAATTACAAACGAGAAGTCACTCAAAAAAAACACCAGATCATTGAATTTTCTCTTCTCCACAGCCAATTACTCAATCAAATGATAATATCGCTTGTACTTACTGATCCAACATTTTACTGCAACTGTGAATATCGAAGTAAGCCACATCCTGGTGCAATAATCTGTCAAACAATTGAGCCCTAAGTCGTGCGGCCATTCGTTCACCGACCGAAGCCAATAATCCGATATACAAAAACGTAGTACATGCCTGAAAGTAACGGAAGAGGAGCAAGTTAGAAAATATACCTGAGACTGGATTCCTCAAGAAAATTCACCTGCCTTGGCCCGGGCAACCTGGCAGTATTCAGCCGACGTGCAGATCATGGAACGTTTTTCTTTTTTATAAAGAGTATTGTACCATGATTTGCTTGGCACACAGTCTGACAAGTGTGAAATATAATAATAATACTGAAACTTTTCGAGCAAAAAGAATAGTAAATCAAGCTAATCACGTTGCGGAATCCGTATTATTTATGAATCTCATATGCAAATACTAGCCTAAACTGTTCAGGATGGATTGACGTCTGTCAAACTACCGAATATAAGTGTTGAAAGCAAGCCAAAACCAGCGATTAGTCACTAACCGAGTCACATTCATTTCACTAGGGCTGGTTCTTCAGGGCGAATAAGCCGGTCTCATGAATGATCATGAGGTTTTGTGGGTACTCAGTACAATATACGTAACCAATATTTATTTTTTTTAAATTTATTTCCAGAAAGCATTTCTGGCCTTTGCGTAAGCAAGTGCTGACTACAACGCCGTAGTGTATTTATACATGGTTGCAGTGGCTCACTAGAAGCTCATTCGGCTGGTGTTCACAAATCGACAAATTCCTATTAAGTTCAGAAGTTTCCTTTACGGCAGTTGGAGATCGGGCAATAGATCTTGTTTGCCCACTCGAAAGGTAGCTGTCTTGTCATCCCAAACCCCGTCTCGCAAAGGTTTTAGATCGCCGTTACCCTGAACCTGACTTATCCCGTCTGTCGAGAGGTTCCGAGGGATGTGGCCGCTGAAATAAAATCCTCAGCTTCTTGCGGCCATATGTGAAAGTTGGATAAGTGATGAAGACCAAACAGATTAAGGAAACCCAGGTGCACAATGTTCTGCTAACTTAGTGGTGTCATAATTCCAAAAGGCGGTGCTCGGTCGAGGCTAGTTGTTTATTCCCAATAACGGTCAGGATGTGGTTAAATTGTCATTCATATAACAAAATATCTCATTTGGAACAAATTAGCAGAATTCCCGCAAACACACAAAATATGTAATGTAACGGTCCACTCACAGATGCGCATTCTTGTGTTCACCGTACCAAACAGCAACAGTTTTGTTCATTTTTGGTCGTTCAAAGAAACCGCTGATCACATCTTTTTGCGTACTACTCACAAGTGAGTAGTATCTCACAACAAGTGGTGCTACTCCTATCATATCTCCCTCAAAACGATAAACCAACTGAGTCCTTCGGAATGGAGTAAGGTTTCAACCAGATTCTTTGGCAGTAATATAGAATTAGGGTCTGAGGACTTTGGTTCACTCGTTCCAAAGTAAATAGATATATTGCATACTGAAAAGGAGAAAACTGAAGCAAAGAATACGACTGTCATTT